ACTGTGTGATGTCTCCAACTATGGAGACAGCTGGAAACGGATGTTCTTTGAACGTCACCTGGAGAACGTCCTGAAATGTTTCACCCCTAACACCACAGACCCCAACCAGGTCCTAGAGCTCATCCCGCTCTGCAAAGGCTATGTGCGGAAACTGGAGGTTGATCAGTTCCTGCCACCAGTTGAAGGTGGATCAAAAAGAGGAGAGGGATGACCTCTCTGATACGGGAAGTGACTTTGAATCTGGTGAGGCCTCTGTGCAACACTACGACCTGAAAGATCTCATTACTGCTCTCCCTCACCTGGAAGAGCTTCATCTCACTTATGGTGTGAAGGACTGTGGCATGAACTTTGAGTGGAACCTCTTTAACTTCACCAACCAGGACTGCTGCAATTTGGCTGCTGCTGTGAAGATGTGCCACAACTTGAAAGTAACGTACATCAAACTGAACTTTCCCCTTCCTCGGACAGATCTTCAAATCACCTGGGGATAGAAGTGCAGGGACCAGTTTTGCTGGCAGCACCCTTCCTTTTGCAAGTTACAGGGTCTGGCAGAGCGCAGAGATGTAACTTGCTGGCCTAGTGCTGAGTATCTCGTTCTGCAATGTCCTTGTTAGAACGAGTAGTCAGAGGGTCAGTGAGAAAAATACTTGCTCCCACAAACCATGCTGCCTGTAGCATAAGGGACAGCAGCACTCCTGTTTCAACTCCTCACACGGTTCTGGGAAGGAAGGAGAAATCCAGAGAGAGTTTTTCATAAGAGTTTTTGGTAGTAATGCTCAGTAAATACATGCCAAGGAGCAAAGATGCCGAAGAAGAGCATGGGGACATACTCACACTTCTCTTAGAATGATGAAGGGTTTTCCTCCTGGGTATTAACAGCATCTTCAGTTCTGTGGTAACTGCAGTGGAGATAGCCCCTCCCAAACACCAGTAAGCTGGCCCCATAGATCAGCATGCTTTGGGAAATATTTGTCTACTTGGCTTCCAAAAGAGAAATGACCTCTCTTGTGGCTGTTAAGGTGCCTTGGCAGCACAGGACATTGCACTGTAGTTACCACTGGTATGTGTGTTCATTCAGAAAATGTTTGACTGTGATCTGGGGTGGGCTCTGCTGTCACTTGCTGCAGATGTTTGGACAGCTTTATCTTGCTTTAATTTAGCCCCCGGTTAGAAATCTTGTAAAGTCAGAGGAGAGGAACAGGAACTTCCAGAAGACAAACCATGTTTCCCTAGAATAGGCGTGAGACACCAGTGGCATGCCCTGCCTGCTGGAAGTATCTGCCCACTATGAAAGCAACTACCTGACCCTACTGGCTAAAGGTGTTGGAAGTGAAGGGAGATGAAACCTGTGTGGAGGACCATAGGCTTAATTCCCTTGAGATCTTGTACGAAGCCCAGTCCAAAGCACTGGCTGATTTAGTGACCCTGTTTTTTATCCCCACAGGTTTTCAAGCTGACACGAAGCAATGTGGATGATGAAAAGACTAAGATCCTGGCCCGTAACTTGCTAGATCACCCCTGCTTGGTGGAGCTGAATTTGTCCCATAATCTCATCAGGGACAAGGGGGCGCAAGCTCTTGGCAAGCTGATCAGTCGCAGCAGATTAGAAACCCTCGATCTGTGTAACAACCAGATCCATCACCTGGGGGCTCAGGCTCTCGCTCAAGCCCTGGCTGAGAAGTCCACCCTGACCTCCCTGAATCTGCGCCTCAACTGCGTGGAGGACAAAGGCGGGGAGGCGATCGGGCATGCCCTGCTGACCAACACCACCCTGAAGTCCATCCATCTGGGAAGTAATAACCTGTCAGAGGCAACTGCTGCACTGTTCTCCCAAGTCCTGGCTCAGAACACCACCCTGAGGAGCATCAACTTTTCATGCAACTACCTGGGGCTGGTAAGAAAACCCACTTCTCCCTGCAGTCTCTGAGCCTGTGTGGTGACCTGGAAAAGCAGATGCTGTGCCTGCCCTCCCTCAAAGCCACAGAGGCAAATGCATCCCTCATTTTGCAATCTTGCTGTGATGACAATCAGTTGCGAGCAGGAAAGAGACTCTAGCAGAAGGCAGGAAGGAGAAGGACACCTTCTGTGTGTGCACACATATTTATCTCACTTGTTACATCTAGCTCTGTTCACAGGGTTGAATCTGGCTTTGAGGCTTTGGGCTTTTGGGCAGGGAGGGATTCCCCCTCCCAGGAAACTGAACTCCAGGGAGTATGTCTGGGAAAAATCACAGCCACTTTGCACATGTGAGAATAGTTAATAATGATAGGTAACGTGAGATGAGGGCCTCATGCATATCCTCTGTGCTTTGGATCTGCTGTGCCATCTGTCACTCAGCAGCACACAGATAGTGTAACCCTTCCCAGAATTTCTCCCATCCATCACATGCTCAGAGGAGACTGTTAGAAAATTGGCTCAGTTGCTGAGCTTCTTTAACTCACCCTGCAGCCCTGGAGTGCTGCGCTGGGTCACAAGTGTCACGTCTGGGCGCTTATAAGTGGCTCCTAAAACACGGGCTTACATTTTCTAGGCAGAAGAGCATCCACAGATCTTACGACGTCCCAAAGAGCTGCAGTATGCAACATGCCCACAAACCAGACCGCTTCTCCTCTGCTGATTAAAAAGAGCTTTAGAAATCCGAAACTAGGCAGCCAAAAGCAATCACGCTGGCTTTTAAACTTTCTGCGCTGCCTCAATTATTCTCACTGTCAAATAAAGAGACAGCAAGACCAGCTGTCCCTGCTGGCAGGAATATTGGCATCAATGTGTTTGACAACGGTTTTAAAAGGATTTGATGGCAGAAAACCTTTTGTGAGCTCTGAGTTTTATGGTCCTGGATGTGGAAAAGTATTTGAGTGTAATGATACAAGTGGGCAAAGGTTGGAAAGGATAGAAGGATTTTTGTTTAGTAAATAATAATCTCTATGCTTAGCATCTTCCTTCTGATAGCACTCCTGTTACCCATTTGTGAAGCCTCACAGCAGCCCAAAAGCCAACTGGTGGTATTATCTTTGCAGAACTTGGGGTTTTGCTAGAGATGCACTAAATTCTGACCTCTGTACCCCATTACAAAGAGACTTCTTCCCAGTCCTTTTTGCTCTGCCCATTTTGGCAAAAGTGCTAAGAGGCAGGGTGCTGGGACGAGGGGACCATCTGGATGGAGGAGATGGGGCAGGAGGTGTATTTGGTACCTGAAAGAGAATAGCTAGGATGGTAAAAAGTTCAATTTGTCACATCCCTAAATACAGTGCTTTGCGTAACTAAGGGAAATGCCCCAGAATGAGTTGCCTCCCTAAGGCTATCTACATCACACATTCTGTCCCAAGCAGGCTGGACCTCAGTTGTGGAAGATGTTCCCCTCAGGAAAGCCAACCCAGTCTGAGAAATGGCATCCAGGCAGGAAACTGCCAGTACTGGGGCTCACACCACTGATGAGAGGAGGAGCAGGATGAGGAGCAGTACACTCATCACACTGCCATTTGTCCCCAGCCAGCAGTGAGCTGGGAACTGGGGGACAGGGGGAGCAGACTCCTCTCAGGTTATCACCGCCAGACAGATGTGTTATTAACCAGCCTGAGCTTGAGAACTCCTGACATGGTACCCAGAGGGAGTCATTAGCATGTGTCATATCACTGAGAGCTGCATAAGGTTACACTCCTTCTCTGCACTTCTCCTGTGAGCAACATTCAGGCTTCAGTGAAGGCCTTCATCCCTTTCGGCAACATCTCATGGACTTTCCCCTTCCAGCAGCAGAAGTTGCCCTGGGGAGGAGAGAAAAGGAACAATACACCTCCCTTTTGGATCTCCTCCTTTAACCACCCCTTCTCATCCTTTTGCAGGATGGTGGGAAGCAGCTGCTTGAAGGGCTGGCAGACAACAAGACTCTGACTGAGCTTGACCTTCGCCAGACAGAGGTGGACCAGGAGGCCGAGTACTTCATTCACCAAATTGTGTGGGCCAATAGGGAAGCGGTGAGGCTGCAGCAGACCACCACCAAGCCCCCCTGAATAAAATGCTCCAGAGCAATGAGCTTGGGAGGCACAGTGTTGGAGATACTTTACTTCAGAGTCTTGGTTTTATTTGTATTTCTGAGAAACACTAATCCATCATCCAACCTGTGGCTAATAGGAGACAGATGTAAGACCTCAAGGGACTGTAGTGGCACCACAGAGCAATCTGCCTCTTGAGCCCCCAGATTATATTCCACTTCCTGTGGTGTTTCTAACGTGCCCCAGCAGCCAGCTTAGTTCAAGTAACTGTTCCACCTGTAAAGCAGCTAAGGTGAAGTCTCTGCCATCTAAATAGTTTAGTCCAGAGCTAACTTTCAGGGCAGGCAGCTTTTTTAAGCATTTTGCTGAGGAGGATGTGAGATAAGGGATTGAGGGAATGTTGTTTCTAGTTCCTTGGCAGCTTTTTCTGGATACTGCTCTGCTCAAGAATTTATTTGTATTTATAGCAAAATCTGTCTGGAGTCTGATATGGATGGTGAAAAGCAGTAAGAAATAAATTCAATAAATCATAGGTCTCACCACTGTGGTTTCCTGCTTTGAGCTGCTATGCCTTTGATCAGTGCTAGCCTGCTTTGCAAACAGGTGAATTCTTTATAACCAGAGGCTTACCTTGCCTAGTAGTGATCTTCTGTGCCAACCTGTACAAAAAACCCCTGTGTTTTGCAAGACTTCAAGCTAGAGGGGTCCCTGCAGGACTGCTGGCCCACACAGCCCACAGTATTGAAAATGGAGGAGTTTCTTTGGGGTTGGAGCAAAATGGAGCAGCTTCCTTTTGCTCTACAGGCTGTGGCCACAGGCTGAGGAAAGGACAGGGCACATACTTGACTGCCTTGGTCCTTTGACCACCCTTCTGAGGAGATGTCATCAGGGAATTCAGCAAGTGGGCTGACTTCTATCCCGTCCTGCCCTCTGAGCAATTGTTATGGGGGCTTCACGTGCCTCCATACCTGCCCAGCACCAGTGCTCACAGACCCACCGCTGGCAACCACCTCAGTGAATCATCTGAAACTTTTATTACACCGATTTGGTTTACAATCTTTGTACTTTGATATTTCCAACAAAAAAGGCAACATTGTGATATACTGTTTGTACATATATAGAGAGACAGACAGAGCTAGATCATATTGACAGAGTTGAAAAGTAAAAACTGTTTCCCAGTGTTCACAAAAGAATTTATCCACCACGTACCCGCTTCTGCCTTGCCCTGCCTGATGGATACAGACACCTGTGGTGCCGCCAGCCCCCGGCCGACGGGACCTTTACCTGCACCGTGTCACACCCGTACAGATCAGAAGGATGGAGTGCGAGGCTGTCCCCGGTGGCACTGGCCACGCAAGGAGCGCGGACAGGGCTCAGCCCCAAGCCCTCACAAGTTTGCGTAGCTCCCTTCTCAACTATTGATGGAGGCTTCAGGGGCTACATCCGCAAGAATTCCTAACCAGAACCAGCAGCTGTGAAACCTCCCTATCTGGGCATCTCCCACTACTAGTTTCCCATCCTCGAGACCGAGGTATTGAATATACTTATTTATTTTTATTTGCATTTACAAAATATTTCCACTGGATGACACACCTCAATGAGATGAGAACTCATGTTCAGAAACAGCAGAAAAGACCCAGATCAGCATCAGGCTGATGAAGCAACAGCTCCAGCAGTGAGGGTGGTGGCTTGATGGGGGTGGCCTGGTCCTGGGCAAGCTTGCCTGTAGCTCCAAGGACAGGGCTGCAGCTGGTCAGCCAGTTGTGCAATGAAAGCTCATGCTGGGAGGGCAGCGATGAGATCCTGCAGACATGCTACCAGACACATGAGGAGGAATTGACTGCCAGCGCCAGTGAGGACAGGGGAAGGAAAGAAAAGGGCTTGGGAAAACATGTCATCACCAGAAAAACTGCTGGCTTGCTTTCCAGGATATTCACTGCTCCTTTTCCTGCAAACAGTCCTGAGACTGTTAACACCACCTAAGTACCCTCCAAATCCACTCCTGGTCTGCCACAGGCAGGAATGCCTGGACAGGTAGCTGTTGCCTGGAAAACCCTTTGCCATCCCTCCCATCAATCTCTTGGCCAAAGAGCAAAGCCCACACCAAGCTGCCTGCACCATGTGCCCACACCCAAGACTAAGAATCAACTATCCGCCAGTCTGCAAGGGCTGAAACCACTTCAAATGCCACACACGTTGGCTAAAACTGAAAGGTCTGCCAGCAACAGCAGATTGTATGAATGTAAACATTTCCACTGTTGGTGGGTCGCTTGTCAGCTCCAGGTCCAGTTACCACACGGTGGGACTGCCTTCCAGAGCAGTAACTAGCTGGTCACTCTGTGCTGGGAAAGGAATGTGCCAGCGCAGGGCCAGGACAGACCCCTTAGCTTTCCTTTGAGATCTATCCCCAAGGAGTACTGTCAACCTTTGAGGAGGGGGGTCAATCTGTGGGCCTCTGTCTGGAGGAGGGAATGACCTCCAGCACCACCACCCCCCACCAACACTGCATGAGTGGCACTCAGCTGTAGAGGCACCCCAGCCAAGCTGGGAACATCCCCCAACCCATGGATCTGTGCCAGAGAGATGGGGAGAGATGAGGGTGGTCGGAAAGTAAAGGAGGGGGAATGACACAAAGGCTTGCACTTGGGCTATGCCAGCGGGTGCCCCTCAGGCTGGAGCAGGGGTGCCCGGCTTGCTCCCTCACGGAGCAGATGGCGAGCCCGGCTTCCGCTGCTCTGAGCAGAGCGCACGTGGCAGCAGGAGTCGGTGGCCAGCTTCCCAAGCCTGACGGCTTCTGCTCGCAGCGACCCAGGCATGGATTTGCAAGGTGTCACAGTGGCATATGTCGCAAACAGGATAGCAGGCTGATTTTGAGCACTGACTGGGGAGGAGGAGCAGACTGCCACGGCGATGGGCAGAGGCTGTGCATTGAAATGACTGCTGTTCAGCCTCCCTTTGCTCCCATGGAGCAGGATTTGTCCACACTGAGCTTCTGCCCTGCCTGCTGGATACTTGCTGGCCCTCTGCACAGTCAGATAAAGTGCTGGTGGCTGGGGTTCAGCAGCAGGGGCTAAAATGGGTGTCCTGTGCATTGCCTCTAGGACAGCACTGCGAAGCTATCTCTGGACAGGGTGAGGGCTTGGGCTGGGGCAGGCTCAGAGAATTTCCAGGTTGCCTCTTATAGGGGCAAACTACAAAACTGAACTGGGGAGGAAACAGCATGCTTGTAAAACATGGCATCAAGCACTACTGGCCTGAAATGCACAGTCCAGCCCATACAACTCTACAACCCAGACAATTCACACAAACTCCCCTCATTGCTGGGGACCTACCAGTTTATGCCATCGGCCCCTATATCACCCCTGTCCTGTGTGTGCCAGTCTCCCTCCAAACTCCTCTACCAGCTAGCCCCATGCACCACCCTGCTGACAGGGAACTTTTGGCTAACTTAGATCCTTTCCTGCTTCTTCCTTCAGTTGCAGTGAAAAGGGACGAAGCCTGAGCTCATGCTACTGGGAAGCTGGAGAGTGGCACAGAGCCAAACCCTGCATTGGTTTCCCTAGGTGGAGGGGATGGCTCAGAAAGGCAGCATTCCTCCTCCCCACAGGGTATGCCTGAAATAGCCAAGCCTGTCAGATCCCTGTCTCTGGCCGTGATGGATTAGCCTCTCCAAGGCACAGGGCAATTTATTCATTAGTGACATTTACACCTTGTGGCTGCATTAGCCATCACGGTTGGTGACACGTGCTCAAGCTGTCAGTGCTGGGCTTAGAGGCAACATCGCTGTTCCAGCAGTGCAGCAAGACATGGCCTGGGCACCTCAGCTTGGGAATACCTCCTGCCTGTCTTCTCAGCCAGAGCATGCACAGATTGCTTTGTCTCTTGGGAACCACTCTGTTCCCAGGCATCTCCACCAAACACCCTGCTCCCTTTGTTTCCCACCCCCTCCTGTCTTGCAGCACCGCTGTTCCAGCACCACAGCCTCCTGCCCTGTCTTGCCTTCTCTAAAAACCACTACACCTGCAAAAAAAACTTGTTCTCCTACCAACCCTCCTCTCCACACCTTGCTGAGCATCCACATGCTATTCTGCCCTCTATCAGTGTGCCTTGTGCAGCCCGCAGCAAAGCTGCCCTCAGTCCCAGCAGAGAAGCACAGAGCACACATTTGGAGACTCCAGTGGACATGCTGCTTTTACCACAATGCCGTCCCCTGCCCTCACACTGCCACAACAGCCAACCTGCCTCTCCTCCCCAGGGGCAGCAGCAGAGATTTGGGGACCGGGACCACCAAAATGTCAAGGCCTTCTGCTTTCTAACTTCGGTCTGTGTAACTTACCCTGATTACTGAGGCTCAGACAAGCGCTGTGTGAAATTCTCTGGAAAAGCACAAGGTGATACCAGGATGTGCTGCGGCAGCTCTCCACCAAGCAAGGAGGAGGTATGCCAGGGCAGGGAGCACTGCTGGAATGCTGCGCACCGGCAGGGTATTGTGAGTTCTGCCCACAAGCATGCCTGAGGTCATCATGTGTCTGCTGGCATTTCATGGCTGGCCCACAGCACCCAGCAGGGACAGGACCCAAATGATGTGAACACACAGCCTCAGAGGAGTTCAGGGGAGAGGGGTCCTTTGGCTACCTCACAGGAATGACGGTTTTCCCATCGGATTTGGGGAGGGTGGGAAGAGACGGAAAGCATTGCCCAGGGAGCAGATCCAGCAGCTCTCCTCTTTCGGGTGGCCAGCAATGGATTAGCTTGTTCTCAAACACAGCTTGCTCCATGCTTTTATCCCTGCTCCCTGGCACTCACTGCAGCAAATGTGACACTTCACACCATCTTCTCACAGAAACCAGGTCAGGAGTTTCCTCTCACAAGGAACAAGCAACGCTCTGTCACCCTGAAGAGCCCTTGCCGCAAAGGTAGATGGGTGTCACCAGCCCAGAGCCACAAACACACCAACCCTCTGCAGGGCCACGGGTCCCAGCTGTGCACACAAGCATGGAGAAGCCCACCCTGCCATGCGTGCATGTGTAGGTGGATGGCAAGGTCACATCTCAGAGGAAGACTTTAAACTCCAGCCTCTGTTCCAGCCTACCCCACTGCGAAGCCACAGGGCTACCATCCCAATCTGCCTTGAGCATTTCTTCCCCACCAACACAACAAGGGCTGGAAGGAGTGGAGAGTTTAAACCCACCTCACCACCAAAAATTATTTTTTCTTTAAGCAAGGAACAGCAACACAAAACACTTTGCACAACTGTTAAGGCCTCCTAGTCTTATTTCAGTTTGAAAAAGCAGTTGGCATTCCCAAAGTGAAATCCTGTTATTTTGGGGTCTAGCTGTCACTGCTGTTTCCCGCTGGCTGAGCTGTGCCGTTCATTTTGCTCCATCAGACATATCACTACTCTCATTCCCCTCTGCTTGGCCCCTGGGGACAGGCTCTTCCTGGGGGACAGGTGCAGCACAGAGCCCACCAGCTCCTGGCATGGCCAAGCAGGAGGTGATGCCTGCTTTCAGCTGATTCTCCCCCTGCATCTGCTTCAGGAGATGAGCCAGGCTCAGGCTTGTGTTTTTCCAAACTTTTACCCTGACTGGTTCATGGGCTGCCATCCAAAATCCGAATTCATGGCACAGCAGCTGACAGCGCTGCTAATGGACATTGGGACCATGGGACTGATGCAAAGTACTACGTCATCTCACCACATTCTAGCTAGGCTTTTTCTTTCACTAATGTGAGTAGCTAAGATTGCAGAAGCAGCTTGTGCTGATGGAGAGTGAAAGAACCTCATGTGTCTGTGTGTGAAGTTATTTTGTTCTACAAAATCCGTTAAATTTTAATCACAGTAGGTGATCCATCCACTCACGAAGTTCAAAGGACTGGGGAGGGTTCAGGATGGGCACCAATTTCTCACAAGCTTCATTTCCCCCAAATGAAGTTTACAAAAACGGAACAAACAAAATGGCCCAACAAAAACAGTCTTCCTTGGGAATGGGGGGAGGAATAAAACCCACTTAGCTTTCCAGCAGCCTCTGTGCTTATTCTCGGTGCCGGATGGCCATGCTGCACATTGTAATGAGCTCCTGAAAACTTGGCAGCTTCTGGAAGAGTTGCATAGGTGGATGATATACCTGTTAGTAGAGCCTGTGTATGAGCCTGTGTATGAGGAAGAGGAGCTCGCTGAACTCCACAGGGAAACTGTCCCTCCCGCAAGACAGACATATGAGGTAAGGAGGGAAGGAGGAAGGGCAGGCCACGAGGCCATGGGTCTTGCCAGTTCAGTTCTGTCCTTGGGACCTCTTTTCCCTCAGGTGCGGAAAGGTTATGGTCCTGTGGGAGAAGGCTCCTCTCCCAGTGCTGTGGAGGTCAGTTTGCTTGTTAGCTTGCTTTTGAGAGAGTTGACGAGATCACATCCACAGGCATAACGTTCCCCTTGGTGGAGCAGCTGTGATGGAGGCAGTAGAGCAGAACAATTCAACCCACTGCTTGCAAAAACAGTAGATATTCAACATTCATTTATGTTGGTCAAGTCCCAACACAGATTCTATACATCAAAGCAACACTGTGACAAATCAATTTGTCTGGGCTCAAAGACAACCCCCCTCCAAGGAGCTGCTAAGCCAAGCTCGCATTAGTATAGTACCACTGGCTTCAATAAAATTACACTAGGAACGAGCATAGCCCGTTAATTTCTACCTGAAAAGTGACTATGCTCGTTTCCACTTTTTCCAGAATGCCCACGGGGGAAACAGCCCTAGGTGGGCTCCGCCCCAGTTCCCCGCTGGGTTCCCAGGTCCTATGAACCAGCCTTTGGTCCCCATGCATACCTGGCTCAGTGGAGACTCTAGGCCCAAGTGCATCACAGGAGGCAGCAGCACCAAACAGAGCTATCACTTACACCATGTCTCATTTCTGAGATCACCTGGATACAGATCATATTCACACAGACCTTATTCTAATATGAACATGAATGAAACATGATCAGAAGCACATATCCCAACTCGAGACTTACAGCTCTTTGGTAACACAACATCTTGGTGGTGGTACAGTATTTCAGACCCAAGCCCTACAGCTACTGCGGCAGAGAAAGAGCACACTGCAGCAAGGTTGTACCCTGCTCATGTAAGGCAGCATCCTGATAATATTGGACAGCTGTACTGAAGCTGTGGTTGGAAAGGCTGGAAGAAGAGTTGAAAAGGTGTTATTTGTCCCACTGGCTAATCAGCAGGCACTGTTCTACTGACATCGGATGCTACCTAACTTTCTTCAACTTCCACTTAATAAACCTTTTCCTGCAGTTCTCTCCCCATGGGCATCCATCAGTTATTAAACATCTCTCCAGCATTTCTCTAATGTGCATTTTATGGGGAGCAGAAAGGGAGGGGGATGTACAGCAGCTTCCCCAGCCTTAACACTGCACGTTTGCCTGGTGTGTGATTCTGGAAGGCCCAGGCTTGGCCATAAGCTGAGATTCCCTCTCCCCATCATACCAAATGCCCCTACAGCTGCTCACTCTGACAGCCCTCTCTGAAACTTCCTTCCTTGGTGTGGAGTGAGACACGACATTCAGTGAGCTCAAGAAGTACCACCAGGCTGGCTGGTGTCGCCGACCAGTTCTGCACAAGCAAGTGCCAGGTGCTATCTGGGAAGCTTCTAGTGTGCTGAAAGATGGATAAATGCGTGGTCATGTGTCTGGAAGATGAGCTAATTCAGAGCTTCTTAAGTACCTGACAAGTATACCGACAGCAACAGCAAACATCAAATAGCCCAAACTTATTGTCCATCTTTGCAGCAGTAAGGACTAGCACTCCTCTGGGACGCATTAGCACCATGAAGGGCCAGGAAGAGGAGCTGGTAGCATTCCTGTCTCACTCCTTCTAGTATGTGAGGAAAGCTTGCTGATAAGTGCAATGCTGAGCCTGACTCTCAGCCCATGGAAAACTGCAGTGGGTGAACAATGCATGGAAAGAACCTAAGCCATCTGACTGTGGAGATCCTCTAGTTATTGCCCACATCATACTGACAAGCACACAGCTTTCACCTTCCCACAGGGTGATGTGCGCTATCCCACTTTCCTTGTGTAAGGGGCCAGCACCTCTGTGTACTCCACTCACTTTGAAGAGGTCTTCTGCTCTGGAAGCGAGGACACAGCCTCCCTGACAGACCAAGGCATTGCTCGCACCTTTGGCCCTCTCCTCTTGCCCAAGCCGGGCTCAGAGCAGGAGTGATGTACTCACTACACAGGGAAAACTTCTGCACCACCACTCAAACCAGGGTTTGGCAAGTGAGATCAAGACCCTGGGATTGGTGAAGGGAGGGCTACAGAGACCAGGTGACGCCTGCTTGTGTCGGGAAGGCCGGGGGAAAAGGAGTAGAGCCAATTAGACACACCAGTCAATGAAGGAGAAGTAATGGGATTAAGATACAGCAGGGAGAATTCAGGTTAGATATAAAGGAGAAGGCTATCATGAGAGGAGCAGACTGGGCCATCAAATGAGCTGCCAAAGGAATCGTCATCACCAGCACAGACATGGCAGAGAGCAGACACAAGTCTGCAGGAGGAGCAGATGCCTGACTGCTGCTCAGCCCGGAGCTGTGGTGGGTGGGTGGGTGTCTGTGTGCCGAGGAGATGGGACAACTCCACTACGGAGAGGCTGTGCTGCCAGAGCAGGGACAGACCATTTCTGGGTACCTGTGCTAGTAACCTGCGCTGTAAGGAGAATTGTATCAGCTGCCCTTTGTCCACTACACCAACACTCAGGAGGCAACTTGTACACAAACTTTGCTGGTGGTGTCCCATGCCAGGAGAGGGAAGGGAGAGCCCAGTTTTCTGCTCTGAACTTCCCTGCCTAGCTAGATGTGCCAGGAAGAACCCCAGTTTCAGTCTGTCCTCTTCAGCTCTACCACTTCTCTGCCAAGCCAGCAGGCAGCTCCTGTTCCTCCTGCCCAGCCCTGATCCCTTACCATGTCCATGTGTGCCATTCCCCTTTCCTGAGCCTGAAGCAGGGCACAAAGATCTCCACCCTTGCGAGAATGGAGTAGCATGGACGGGGGGCAGCTCCACCAGGAGCAGTGGGGTAGCAGGGCCAAGAATATGAGGAAGGGGATCTCTGAGAAATCCTGGCATCCAGCAGGGAGCACTAGCTAGAGAGGTCCCACTTCTCAGGGTATTGAGGATCTGGGACGGCCACAGACAGCAGCACTGGGACTATGTCTGGGACCTGGCTGCAGCTGGCACCAGGTACACGGGGAAGGTGTTCAGCAACAGGAAGACTGTATGGATCCTGCTGGTCAGAGCAGCAGCCATGCCTCGAAGATCCATGTGTTCACCTGGACAGACCACCTCCAGAATAAGATTTCACAGGAGAAAATGGGGCAGAGGAACAAGGTGAGGCATTCTCATGGAAAGCCCCAGGAAGAGCCAAGGACACAGCGCCTGCAACTCTGCTGCAGGTGCTAAAGGATGGGGGGCCCAGAGACCCTGCTAATCTGTCCCTATCCTGAAGACTGTCTTTGCCCCAGGGAGCTAAAAGGCCTGCCAAATCTCAGATAAATCCATCTGTCCAAGGCACCTTGGATGCTGGAGATAGAAAGATGAGCCATCACAGCCTAATTTAAGTAATGTGTAGGAAATTTCAAAGAGAATATGTCAGCAAGGACAAGGTGACCACATTTCTTTCTCACTAATGACCCGTTGCAGCTCCACTGTCTCAATTCACTGGGACATACAAGAACACACCATTATCTCCCCAGAGTCACGTGGACACTCAGCATTGGCCTTGGCTTACATTAAGCCCTTGGAGAGAGAAGCACAAATGCACAGCAAGCCAAATGTCATTACTGAGCAAGGAAATCCCAGGGTTGCTTTCACCCGGTCTGAAACTGTGCCAAAAATAATGAGAACAAAACGCAGAGAGGGATGTGCCCACACCAGAGAACTTATGCTTCTCTGGCCTCCCAGGGACCCTCTTTAAGCCAACATCTAAGTCTAGTGCAAGTAAGGGCAGATGACAGGACAGAATCGTAACAGAGTGAGATTTTAAGGGACTTTCTGTTCAAACTGCTCTTCTCCAAACTCCTGTCTGGAGTCTGGAACTTGGGATCCAGGAGGACAAGCTGACCTGAAGGGCAAGAAACTCTGACCAGGATACACAGGGCATGAAGAGCAGAAGAGACTGCTCTGGGGGAAAAGACAAGCAGAGCCCTACAAAACCCACAGGTGCTGACTGTTCCAGGCTTGCCAGCAAGAGAGAATTTTCAAGAGGACTGATGTGGTGCATGGGTGCATTTGCAGCCTCCTCAAGACCTGGGAAGCAAAGGAATACAGCAGCGTGATGAGAGAAACAGAGCCCTCATTAGTAGCTGGCAGGAGGAAGACAGGCTGGACTAAAGACAATGCCTCACTGTTTGCTGTTACATCTCGCCTTTCTGCGATGAATGTGGAGGCAGACATCAAGCTCAAATGCCCAGGTGCTAAAGGACTTACCCTTGTCACCCAAGACCTGCTGCTTTTAGCTGTTGTTTGCCCCAGCTGATGAGGGAAGTGTGGTGAGGCGGAAAAGCAGTGCTGTTTGGAGAAATCGCTGGCTGATGTGGCATGCACTTCCCCAAAGAGCTGACTGGAAAGGAGACAGCTTTTCTGAGGAAAAGCTGGGTGTCTGTATGCTGCAGCCACTGACGAAGCTTCAGTGACATGAAGGCTCCTTGTCCAGTGTCACCAAGATCCCTTCCAACAGGATAGAAGGGGCAGCACAAAGCTCAGAGCAACCTGTGCTGACAAGAGCAAGGCAGAAGAAGCCAGGGGCTAACGGGCTACACAGAAGTCACCTCACTTCTCCCTGCAAAAAACTCTGTAGTGCAAACTGCTCAGTTTTAACCAGGTTCCCCTCTAACACATCCCTGGCCTCTGTTCTGGAAAGCATTCTTCATGGAAGATGCCTCCTGCATGGGTCCTGCATCCACAGTGGGCTCCCACAGAAAGGGAATCCTTTTGCTCCTCATTTCCCCAGCCCAGGTTCCCAATGCTCCTGCATGCTTTTGCATTTCTCCATCCTAGGCCCTCAGAGTTCTCTCTCAAAACCAGGCTGTCAGGAGCCTGCAGCTGAGAGTCCACAGCCAGAGCCCAGCTGGATCTCATGCAAAATTCACTCATGCAGACATGCACCAACCTGCTGCTCCATTATCAATAGGTGAACTGCAGCTGAACCTACCAGAGCCTTCCTTGATGCTTGTCTGAATCAATTAAGGACTCAATTCAAAGCCAGGAAGGGTCCCCAGCCACCTGATTTGCCACCTGATACCATGATGCCTGTCCCAGTGCCATCCTCTTCCCCTTCCCCAGCCCATCAGGGGCCTACCGTTTTCTCTTTCCAGCTGAGCCCTCCTCCAGCAAACACGTCGGTAGCGCTGCAGATCTCTGCTCCATCTGGGTTTGCACATTCATCCCTTCCCCAGCACTGTGTGCCCAAACAGAAAACCCTTTACCTAGGGGATGCTGACTCAGAGCTGGCATGCCGAACCTTCCTAAGGAGCCTGTGATCCTCTGGAGGCGATGCCATTCCCAGCAGTGAGAACAGAGTAACAGTCGGAGCATGGTCTAAAAAAAAAAATGGGGAGGGTGGGGAACAGTTGGGGGGAAGGGGAAGAGCTGGATTCATGGCTTTCAGCCTTTGCTTTAACCTGCCGCTCCATCCATGTGCCAGGATGCCCCAGACCTTCCGTTACAGGCAGTTACACCCTGCTCCCGAGGGACCCATTCCCCTCCACATTGCAAGGGGTCTTGCTCCAGCACGGGAAGCAGGGTGGGCAGAGGTGCAGCAAAGCGCTTTCTGGTGGCTGCTGGTTCCTCAGAGCATGAGCCAGCCTGGAGCCAGGGCTGGGAGCCAAAGCCACCCCCTCCCTGCATCAGGCCTGTCTTTTTATTCTCCCCTTTGGATCTTGATGCCATGAATTACGGTTTTGTGGTTGGTTTGGTTGAATTTATTTTTTTTTTTTTTTGCATGTGGTGGTTGGTCTAGAGTTCTGTGCCACGTCAGGGGAGCATCAGCACTCACCCCTCTGGGAGGTCAGAGCCACAGTGGGGGGAGCTTTTGCTGGCTGATGGAGCGAGATGCCATGTCCACTCCATTCTGATGTCCTCTTAGCCTGTCTCCCCTGTGCTCCTCTCCCCAAATCCTGTGGTGGCTTGGGCCAGGCAATGGACAATGAGATCTCACCGCCCTCTGCTTTCACAGTGAGGTCTCCACGCAGGACCCGTTGCGATGGAGGTGACGGTGGTCGTGGTTCAGGCAGCCTTCGTTGCGGTGTACGATGAGAACGGGGAAGTAGAGGGCATCCTGGTAAGGAGGGGGGTCTTCCTCCTCCACAGTCACCTGGCTGGAGAGGCGTGTCTGCTCAGTGGGGCAGCTCTGCTCGTTCAGGCTCCCACTCCGGCTCTGCCAGAGGCAGCTGCGTCGCGAGCCATACAGGCGGCCCAGAGAGAAGCGGCTGCTGCTGAAGGGAATCCTGGGACTGCCGTTGCAGATGCTCAGAGCACTGCGGGAGAAGATGGAGGAGCTGCTTATAGTCCTGTGGCATCGCTCGCAGTTCTGCCGGTAGCCCCCGTACCGGCAAGCAGAGTAGCTGGTGCAGCCGGAGAGCCCCACCAAGTCCATCAGGACCGCTTCCGAGTAGCTGGGCACCAGCTGCTGGTTGGATCGTATGTGCCACTCCAGCTCGGTGCTGTCCACCGTGTTGACGCGGGGCATCCTCCGGCAGAAGGTGCGCTCCTCGGCCGGGGTCACTGCCACGTAGTCGAACCCAAAGAGTTTCTCCACGTGGTAATGGACATAGGAGGTGCGGTACTCATTTAGCACCCTCAGGGGCCAGGATAGGGTCAGCAGAGCTGCCACCCAGAAGACATAGTGAGATACGTACCAAGGCAGGTTGTCTGGGTCGGAAAAGGCCACCATGTATTCCTTGAAGTCCACATTTTTGAGGTGCATCCCCTCCCTGGCCTCCATGTAGTCATCTAGGCCCTCGTTCTCTGTGAAGAAGCGGGCCCGCTGGGTCAGATAGGAGTTCTCTGACTCCACATTGGCAAAGCTGAAACACTTGGTGAAGCGGAGCCGCGTGGCCGGGTAGCTCTCCAGGTCAATGAGGTCCTTGGAGATGTCCTTAACTCCACAATTGGAATAATCAAACTCAGCCTCTGCCACGTGGGTGTTGACCCGCTCGTGATACACCTGGGTGGTGGTGTAGGCATCCCCGTTGCGGTAGCGGGTAACCTGCCGGGTCCTGCGGACGTAGTGGTAGCTGATGGCCTTCCACCAGATGCAGGGAGTCGCCTGCTGCATCCGCTGCACACGCTCGTGCACGCTCTCCACGTCTACTTTGTATTGCAGCTCGTTGCGGGTGTAGCAGTGCCAGCACTCCACCAGGTACACCACGTAGAGCATCACCAGGAAAGCCAAGGGGATGTAGACGTAGCCGTTGGAACAGGGGCTGTCGTGGTACATCATGGACTTGCCTTTGTAAGCGCTGTCAAAGGTCAGCCGGGTCACCTTGGTGACATGGCACCATGTCATGGCTCCCATGCAGCCGTACATGAGGAGGGACAGCAGCAGGCATTTCCAGTGGGACTCTCGGCACAGAGACTTGCTGAGAGACTGCTTCACTGGCCGCTGCTGCTCCGGTGGACCGGGGAGAAGGGGAGAGAAAACAAGAGAGGAGTCAGTAGGCTGCAGGAGCAGAGGGAAGGGGAGAAGGCAGCAGGGTGCTAGGGTAGCACCTATAGCTCTGTGGAGACAAAACTGTTAGGCAGATGCCTGGGGCTCCCAGCCTCAGCGGGCAGGCCAGAGGCCGGGATCTCTCCCAGGATGACAATCACACAGTGCAGGCAACTGTCACCCCCACTTCCCTTCATGGTGCTCTGCCCCTCCTCGGGAGACATCCCAGCTGGATGTGAAGAAGAGTGGCAGAGGACAACTCTGCCGGTCGTGCCCCAAGCATTCCCCTTCTTCAGCGGGGAGTAATCCCTGCCACTACCACATCCTGCGGAGGGGTAATGGAGCACAATAAGATAGAGGCTGGTGGATTTCTCCCACATACCCCAGCTTCCACACCCATCCCACCAGTGCAGGCAGCTCTAACTGATGGGTCGTCCCACCTGAACTCCTTCCCATAGCTCATCCCAGTGCACCTCTCACTGCTCGCACACCAGTCGCTCCCCTCTTCCAAGTAACGAGCACCAGCAATATTCCAATTCCTCCCATCAGGGCAGCACAAGCTACCTGGGGTGCCTGTAAAGTGGAGAAACAGACCTTCTGCAGCTGGGAATGTCTCTGTTTGGTAATGGCAATGGCAATTCCCACACAACGCCTGGCAGCCTAAGGGGCTCTGAAGTGCTTTTCAAGTATAAACCTCACCAACGGGAAAGTACTTTTCCACAACTGAAATGCAGCCACCTCTGGCAGGAGAGAAAGCAAATATGGAATAACATCCTAAAAAGTGTTAAGGCTGGAAGAGCATCCCACCAATCTGCAGTAGCAGGGAGGGCAGGAGGTCACTCATAGCTGCTAGCAAATGTCCCTGCTTGTGCTGGGATTCAGCTGTGACAGCCCACACTTCCAGAAACTGCTCTCAGGTCTTTTACGGTGAGGAAAGGACAGAACTTCACCAACAAGACTTTTTAAAGGGACTAGTGCCTTGGTGCCCTGGTGCCTTTACTGCAGGGTTTCATACAGACCCATGAAAAAAACCCTGGTTAAGGAAACTTCTGTCACTCTGCAACACTCTGCAGTCTCAAGTATTGATCCAGCTTGGTCTGTGAGACCTGACATCATCCCACTCAAAGAAAGATTCTTTGCTTTCTTACACTTCATCCAGCAATTTCCAAATGTGCAACCTGAGAGAGGGGGGCAAGAACTCCATCGCTGTGCAGATGCCACAAAACTCACTAAGAGGCTTCCATCTTTGCTCTCCCTCCCCACCTGCACGGAGCACGGCTCATGAGCTCACCTCTGCCGTGGCAGGGGCTAATGTCAGCTGTAATGACACCACTCATGGCACTGAAGTCCAAGCCTGGCTCCATTCTTCTCCATTCCTGAGCACATTGGGCTGGACAGGTTTCTTACCCAAGGATCCCAAAATTGCTGAATGGGCTCACACTGCTAGAAAGCAGGAGGGACACTTCCAATCTGGCATGAAAAGGAAAATTAAAGCAAGAACCAGAGATCACAAGGCCACTGGCAGGTCTAGGGACATATTTGGACCTCTTCTTTCCTTTAAGAAATGTGTCTTGCTCTCCTGAAGAGCCCCTCAGTGCTGTCTTGGTCCCCTAGAGTCCCACAGGCTAATCTTTCCTCCCTACAGCCTGGTCCACCCCATGGCAGTGGGTCTTCTGCCACCATGCTCAGCAGGGCTGGATCCAGCCCAAATCTTCAACAGAGGTTTCCCTCCTAGAGGCAGGGAGCTTCCCTGCCTGCCCACCCCAGCAGCCAGCCAGAGGGACCACTGGTGGCAAGTGGAATGGTGGTACATCCCACTGGCAGTCCCAAGCATCAGTAGCACTGAGCTCCCCTCTTTGGAGCCACCGGCTGAGAGCAAGAGCTGGAGACAGACACCCAGCCCAGGGCTGCCAGGTGGGGCAGTGCCAGTCTTCAGGCAACACCGAGAGGTGCAGGGTGGCTCTGCTCAGCAGCGCCAGCACGGACACACATGCAGCCCAGTCTTCACATTGCAACCCACCACTGCAGCAGCCTCATGGTCATGGAACAAGAAGGGAACCCCAGCTAAGAGAAAAGGGAGTGGGGAGAGGAAGGGGGAGCCATTCAGGAGGCAGAGCATCCCGAGCTGTGCCCTCCCTCCTGAGGTCCACGCTGCAGTTATAAGAGCCTGCTCAGATACCTCTGTCTTTGCTCAGCTGCAGCATGGCTCTCCCATGCTGGAATGCTGTACCACTACCCAGGCAGCTGAAGGTTTCCTCTCCCACTGCTGCCTTCTGCGTTGCAGGTCTTCCCTGGCAGCAGCAGCACTGACTGTGAGGATCTAAGGGAGCTGCTCAGCCAAAGGAGGAGCACGGGGAGGGTCTGAACAGGCGCCTTGGGGAGATGCAAGGTACATACAAAACCTACGGTGTCAAAGGCTGAGAAACAGCACCTTGTTCAGGAGGCAGATCTGGAAACAGAGCACAAGGAAAAAAGCAAAGCATCCAGCTCACTGATTTGCCAAGCTGCGGAATGGGCACCAAACAAACAAGTCTTTGGAGATGTCTGCCTCAGAAAAGCAAATTCCACCTCCCAGTCACTCCACAGGCCTTCACATTCCGCACTGCCTGTGTCGCAGGAGAAGGGAGATGCTGGCTGTCACCCTGAGGAGATGCAGGCAAGCCCCACTGCGGTTACCTATCCAGGGCAGGGAGCCTGATGCAGCCCAGGCTTGGTTCCAGGAACTGTGTTAGCAGGGCTCTAGTCCATGCATTAGTCTCCTCCTAGGACTACACAGCATTTAGATACTGCAGTGCTTTTACAGGGTCACGGTAACCCCTGCTGTAAACTGTTTACAACCCAGTTTTGTCTTAGGCTTTTGAGATAAAACACATACACCTCGGCAGCACTGGTGGGGTTTCCGAAAGCTGATCAAGTGCCAATGACGGGATACAACCACAGCAGAGACGGAGGAGGAGCCAGCTGCAGAGTCTAATCCCAGTAGGAACTGCAGCATCCCTGCTCCTCTCCCAGGCTGCAAAGGGCTCACAGGAGCAAACAACCGGCTCCACGGCTTCCCCCTGCAGAAGTAGCTGAATAAGGTTGTCTCCTTGAGCTGTTAACCAGCCTTGGATAAGTCCAGCATAGCAAACAGGCAGATGAAAAAGCTAGGGAAAGGGAAATCTGTCCCAGAACAGTGTCACTGGGAGGAGAGCAGTCTCTGATATAAATGCCATCGTCATCTGCCCGCTGCAGTCTGATGGAATGAGGCAAAAGACTTGCCCTACTTCACTGCAAACAGGGTTTCCCTCCATCACCAGGAACCTCCCTTATTGCTCAGGCTCAAGCACTGGAGAGCCATAAGCAAATCTGCTATTGCAGGTGCACAGAAACATCTCTGCAGTGCTAGAGGGTAGAACTGGTCCGGCCATGGCTTGGCTGACCCCTCTGTGGGATCCCAGTGCCTCAGTTCACCACACAGAACGCACAAGGCAACTCTTACCAGGCGCCTGGGCACTAACTGTAACACACGTTGGAAAAGGCAAGGGGTGGGCTTCTGCTATAGCCTCCCCTCCCTCATACATGGCATTTGTCTCTGAGGTGGCAATGTCTCCATGGCATTGCCCCTGAGATGAACAGAGCCGGAGTCCCACAGCTGCAGTTGCTGCCCTGGGATGCACAGGGAGGGACGGCTGGGATTATTTACAACCAGCCGTGAAGCAAAAGGAGATTCCCACAATGTACAGGGCAGAGGCAATAGAAGGCAGTGGGGGGGAGGGATCCTCTTCTAAAAAAAGCCTTGAGGAGATAAACATGCCCAGCACTCCAGTGGCCAAGCACATGGGCCAAAAGACCTTAATCCCCCCTGCAACCTTGACCCTGCAACTTTGAACACTAAACAACTTCAGAAATCCTTCAAGCTCTTTAAGCTCCTCTCTGTAACAGTTCAGCCCTGGCCCCATCCACTGTCCCCCTGTTTAACAAGTGTTTCCATGTCATCACCTCCCATGCCTCTTACCTGCCTCTCCTTGCAAAGACCTGTCTTAAATCTCCGATTCACCTCCAGAGCTTAACGGTCGCTTTCAAGATGCCCTGGGGTTCAGAGGGTTAGGTGTTCTAGAGACAGCCCTCTACAGGACTGAAAAAAACAATCAAAAAAGCCCTAGAGCAGCAGCCTGAAGGACCAGGTAGCTCCTGAGTGCCAGGCAGTGGCAGCAGCTTCCAGGTGTCTCCAGTGGGACTCCTGAGCATCAGTTTCCATGGCTCTTCCCTACCATTCACTTACATCATGCAAGAAATGAACTGACCTCAAATTTGACCTCAAATCCCTGGAATAAGGTTGGCACGGAAGATCCAGGAAATGCCACTGTCTTTGGAGGCCGTGGACAGAGATTGGCAACTCCTGGCCAGGATGGTCCCAGCAAACACCCACATCACACATCCTATGCCTACAGCCCAGATTGAGGAGATACCTGAGGTGGCTCAAGACCAGGCAGGCAGCATTGCCAGCTGCAGAGGGAAGAGGAAGTCTGAGCATCTAGGAGCCAGGGAACTCTGCCAGCAGTCAGATCCTGCAGTGATACCAAATTCTCCATTTCACACAGCAACTTGGAGGAGGACTGGTCCCTTCCATCAGATACCACACGAGCAGCAGGACAAGGACATTTTTTTGCTTGTTCCCAGGCTGAAGAGCTTTTCCCTTGGCATTTCCTACCCTCCAAGTATGCGTTGCTGAGTGAAATTCAGCTCACCACCATTAAGTATATGTGTAGGCATGTAATGCCAAGAGGAACATGGGCTCAGTGAGCTCTGGCCGGTATTCTTGCTACTTACCTTGCTGGGACAGAGAAGCACCTGAAGCCCTGCCTGGCTTCTAGACACAGCAATCTGAGATATGTCAACATGAGGTATCTTCAAAGACAACAGAGCACATTTCCCATTTTCCAATCCCCAGACATCTCCTCTGGCTCCCCACCTGCCCTGGCCAATGGATCCTGACATGTGGGATTCACACTGCTAGGATGCTCAACAATATTGGCACCAACAGTTGGTTCTGATGGAAATGAGGACATCGCTACAGCCTGTCCTTCTCCCTCCCAATGTTTCTGAAGACAAGACTTCCCTAGGTCAGTCCACAAATCCAAGCTCCCCTTCCCACTAAAGTCTCTCCTCATTGCATCACGAGACACCAGTAAGCACAGCACCACCAGGAGAGACTGCAGCTCCCCTCTCTTCCACCAGCTGCTTCATGCAAGTCTATGACAGCTTCTGGCCACAGGAAGGATGCCTTCAGCCTAAAAAGTGCAGGTCATGGACTGTACCCCTTCTGCCTGCTCTCGTGGTGTAAGATTACACTGACACCCTAGTTGGCAGCCACCACAGAGCAATCAAAGAGACAATCTTCTTGTAATCCCTACGAAGCAGGGGACACTACAGGTGAGGGAAACTCACCTGGACACTGCCCCTGCTACACTTCTTTCATCCAAAGTGGCTCTTGAACTGGCACATCTGAAAAGCCACTGTGCTGTCTTGAAAGTAGCACCAACACTGGCAGAGCACTGATAGTAAGAGACCACGTCACAGCATGGCACAAGCATGTCCTCATGCTAAAAAGACACCTCATAGTTTAGCTACCCTGGTCAGGATCTGTTTGGAGAGCTGGGCTCAGGGCATCAGGAGTTGTTAAATGGAAGCAGGAAGAGAGGAACAGACACAGAGCAGAGTACACAGTATTTGTACAGCTTCCCAGTCCTTGAACTTCAGCATTCCTCTCCTGCAATTATTTATATCTAAATATAAGTTGTATATATAGAATAACACTGCATGAGCATGCATGTTCTGCCTAAGCCAAGGAGACAGAGAATACCAGGATTATGCAGCACTCACTGACTGCAACTCCTCAGCAGCAGAGGACAAGTGATGCACCGGCTCGAGCACCCCACAAGCTGCCCTTTGAGCTGTGCTCTCACCAGAGAGGGCAACCCCCACACCAGGAGAACGCTGTCCTTCCTACACTGCCCAGCTGACTTCCATGGGTCACCAGCCCCACAGCATAAGGTAGGTCTCACTAGTCGGTGCAGTTGCTTTCCCTCCTCTTGGGAAGCCCAAGCTGCAAGCAGGATCTGTGGAGGCAGACAAAGGGGCTGGCACACCTGCCTATCGGTGCTGCTCCCCAGGCACAGGGCACCCTGCTCTTGAGCATTTCTAGAATCTGCTGCCTGGACTCCAGAAAAGTCTCTCCAAAAAGGGGAGACTGCAGCACATATGGAGGCAAAGCTGTGCTGGTACCTGGCCTGCCCCAGTCTGCACCTTCCACTCTCGCCAGCCAACCTCCAGCTGGGAGCAGCGACCAGCAACAGTCCCTGGCGTTGCCAGGTCCCCAAGCCCTCTCCCCTGCTATCCACCGCGCCTTCCCTCGCAGTGACCTAGGCAGCTGTGCCACTTCCTGGATGCCCCCAGAAGCCAGAGAGCAGCAAGGCGGGGGTCTCCACTTCCATTTCTCCCAGCATAACAACCTCTGCCCGTGGCAGGAAGCCCAAGCGGCGCCCCGCGCCTCTCTTTGGTGATTTTCTCCCTTCCTCCTCCACCCTGGCCACTCCGGCTCCGGCCCCCGCTCCGGACGGCGTTGGCCGCTGCGTCCCTTCCAGCCGCGGCGGCTCCGCGGCGATCCCCAGGTGACAGGCGAGCGATGGACAAGCGAAGCGCCGGAGCATCCCACGGGCGGCGGGGACCGACGGGTGGGTTTCCTGGCCCACCCCTCGCAACCCCCACGCCGGCCCGCACCGCAGCCCCGGGGCCGGAGCGGGGCGGGGGGGACTCCCGGAGAGGGGGTCCGTACCTGTGCGGGCACAGCCCGGCCCGGCCCGCGGCGGGGCGGTCACGAACGCGCCATGCAAAGCGGGCGGGGAGAGAGGGTGGTTGGGGGCATCCCCGGGCTGGGGGCGGCCGCTCTCCTCACCTCCTCTCGGGCCCCCTCCGCCTCCTCCTCCGGAGGCACCGGCGTGCTGCTGCCTCCCTCGCTGGCGGCGGCCGCCGAGGCCGGGGGGGACATGGCGGCGGGGGCGCCCCGCTGGCGGTGCCTGCGGGCTGGGCAGCCGCATTATCCCGCCCGCCGCCGGGCGCTGCCTCGCCGGTCGCCGGGCGGGCGGCGGGGCGGCGCGGCGGGCGGGCGGCGCGGCGGCATCGCCCCCAGCCGCGGCTCGGCGGCAGCGCTGGCCGCCCGCCGGCCCCCGGCCCCGGCCCCGCTGCAGCGCAGCGCCGCTACACGCGGCGGAGGGCGGGCAGAGCCGCGGTGGGAGGGCCGCGGCGGAGGCGGGGGACAGGGGGACTGGACGGGGATGGGATGGGATGGGATGGGATGGGATGGGATGGGATGGGATGGGATGGGATGGGATGGGATGGGATGGGATGGGATGGGATGGGATGGGATGGGGTCGGGGCGGGACCCGCGCCCGCCCGAGCGGGGCGGCGAGTGACCTTGAGGCGCCGTCCGGCAGCAAGAGAGGGAGGCAGGCAGGGAGGCAGGCAAGGAGCAGGCAGGTAGGGAGGGAGCCCAGCGCAGCCGCCCCTCCCGAGCGTCACCGGGAGTGGAGCCGCCGCCCGGCGCGGCCGCAGAGCGCTCCCGCTCCCAGCCCTGCCGAGGGGGCGTCACGCTGTCCAAGAGGGCTTCGGTCCCAGCCGGGATGCTGATGGGGAGGGGAGGTCCCGTGGGTTTTCCTCCCCTCGGGACGAAGCAGGAGAACCAAGAGCACTTTGAGTGAACTGCGTCTGTTTCTCTAATATATGAGCATCCCAGCTAGTCGAGGGAGGTGGGGTAGGGATGACCATCAGTGCTAAGGCTGGCACTCAGGGAAAACCTTAGGTCGGGCAACATCTTTGCTGCTATGATCTTCATCGGGCCCAAGGATACTCAGCTAGCTATTGCAGAGCCAACTGCAGTGTATTTCACACACAGAGCTAACTGGCTTGGTTGCAGGGATGAGTGCGAAAGTCTCTTTAGACCCTCAATCTAAACACACAGGGGACACACACACTGAGCTCAGGAAGGGTTCAGACTTGTTCAGGTCCAGATATTGCAGGTAGAGCCCAGCTTCCTCGACTGTCAGGAAATAGGGGTCTCTGACAGTGCTTCCCCAGTTCCAAACTGGGGAGAAGCATAAGCTGCAGAATTTGCTGGAAACTGCTTCACTTTTTCTAAGCTCTGAGGCTCAGCCTTGGCAATGGGATGATTGGCATGCTCTTGCCCACTGTTGCCTGGGGTGAGGAAGGAACAGTCCGTAGGTTTGATGGTCTCACTCAAGGAGATGCATCCGAGAGGAATTGCCAAACCCTGCTTCTTATAGGAATAGGTGTGATGGCCGGGGGTGCTGCTGAAGGAGCTCATCTTCAAAAGAGGCTGGGGATGCATTTCCTCTCGCCTTTACCCTGTTTCCATGGGAACAGCAGCAAGCAGGAGCAGCCTGCTTGGAATTTCACTGCCTACCGCTCAGACACCCCCTGCCCAATCTTCCCAGCAGACTTTGGCTCTGAAGGGTTTCAGACCCATCCTCACGTGATGGATCCCATGCCTCCAAAGAGAGCTCACCAGTGTGTGTGTTGTGGCAGTGCAAAGCAAAGAGGCACAAGCCCAGAGCTGCCAGGATTCCTGTAGCAGCACTGAATGCTATTCCATGCACACTAATAGACAGTTGTAAATAATATGCATTCCTATATGCATTCCTGCTTTTTATAGTGCTAGGGACTCCTGTAGCATGTGACCTCAGCTAGACCAAAAGGCACATGGGGGATGATCACCCTCCAAGAACAGCAATGGTTTTCTCTCAAAGATGTGAATATTGCACAAAAAGAGCAAAGCAGAAGGTCGAAGGGGGAGAAAAGGTGATACGAGTTTATGTCTTTGCTTTTAGTAGTCCATGGTGTTTTTTTCTCCAGGCAATTCGTCTATTCACTTCTGAATTTGTTTTGATTTTAGACTTGTAGATGCTTCATGCATTTTGTGGCAAGGAGTATCACAGCACACCCACAGACTCAAGGAGCAACTTCCTTTGGTGTGCTTGTTATCCACTAGGATTAACCGGTGGGAAGTGGGCTGCTGCCATCCTTATGAAGCCACACACACAGAGCCCTGCACTTTGTCCTCCACTGGTAGAGTCACCAGTGATTTAACCTGAAAGTGATTTAACAGGAATCACCAGTGATTCAGAGGTAGAGTTTTTTGTATCAGGCATCTCTGATACTGGGGTCTGGGCAGCCTGTCTTGGAGTGACAACACTGTCAAGTGCATCACTAGCTATGCTATTTTTGAGCTGAGGTGTCACAAAGAGGTCGTGTGCCCTGCTCTGTCTGAACTGAAATTGTACAAGCTGCTTCAGCCACTTTCTGTGGGAAACAGGCAGGTTTCGACCCTCATATAGGAACCCAAAGGCATGGCTGATAATGTGTTACAAAGGGCACAAAACCCCCCAGGAATGGGAGAAATAAGGTTTCGTGATGCTTAGGCCTCTGGGAAACTGAAGCAAGACGGCCAACATCCAAGTTTGTGTTCTGTGTCACCAGCACAGGGAGAACCCAGCAGTCCTAATTACAACACACTGCCCTATCCATTCAACCCTCCTTCTCTTGGGGGCAAGAGACAAAAATATGGGAGATTTCTCTCCAGTTATCCCTGTAGGGTTCAGGATGCTCTACTGGAAAATCATGTTAGAGAGCGAGACATTTCTGGGAGGGAGGCATTTCTGATGTGACAAAATGGTTGGAAGAAGCATGGAGGCTTTTAAGAAGACACAGCAACTGAAGTAGAGGTGGTGCCCTTACCAGGATATCAACAGGTTTGTTCTCCAGATAGCCTGTAACTACCACTCTGCAGAGACATTCATATCTGTTCCAAGGAGACATAAAGCATGATGTCATATTAGCAGTATTTGTTCACTTTCCATAATGCATCAAACCAGAAAAGGTCTCACTCTTCTGTCTCTGGTAGTTACAGAAAATAGCCTTTTTAGTTCGTGCTTAATATGTTATTAGTTTGTACCCATGCAGCAAATTTACATTTAATATCTAGAAAAATTTTGACAGAGGCTGCATTTTAAACCAGATGGCCACAGATACCTATCCTTGTGCTGATATTTGTAGCTTAAATATAAAAATGGATTTTGCAGCATCATATATATTGTGTTTAGTTTTATTTTGTCCTGTAGGCCAAGAATGATCAAAACTCAGTCTTTTGTTCCAAAGCAATCAATGATTCCTAGTGGTGTGCTGCTCTTTGTCTCTTGGGAAGATATGTTGCACAGAATCCCCTCGTGTTAGGATGCAGGATTTTCTAATGCCTGTTCGATTTAAAAATTTCAAGGATGTTTTGTGCTGGCTGCCTGAGCCTTCCAGAATGTGTCACTCCAGTTAAATTGCTCCTTCTTAATGCAACAAGGGGAGTGTTGATGAATGAACATGCTTCTTGCTCCAGTTAACATCCCTTTGCCACTAGTGGTCAGTGGTGTTGACTGTGTGGGTGCCACCCACCTCTGCCATCTTTGTCCCCAAGGAAATATGTGCCATTATTTATGTTTTCATCTGCTACACTCAGACTTCATGTCTGCTGGGAGGAGATCCAGGTGTGCCCTTTTTGTTGTGGGAAGGAAACCTGCAAGGGTCACTAATTTGTGACTGGGGAACTAGTTTCTGTTCACATCACTAACAGGGGTACGCATCACAACTGTGGTCTACAAACACTCAAAGTCTTAAACCTCATGAAGTAGGTGGGTTTATAGCTGCTGCTCTGCGGTGCATTTCACAGAATAGAATTGCTGTCATTGAAAACTCTTTGATCCCTGCTCTAATTCTTCCTCTTCCAACAGGCTGCCTGTGTGCAGTTTGCTTATTTTCCATCCAGCCCCATGAGAGTCTATTTTGTCATCATCACAATTATTTGTGAAGCTCTGCAGAGGTTTCTGGGTCAGGTTAAATCACTTTTCTCTCTGCAATAGCCCAGCAGGATACCCAGGGCCCTCCCTCACATCCCCCCTAGAAATGAAAAGCGGATTCAGTGCTGCCCAGATGCTATTTGACAGTCCTCAGGACATTTTGTCCAGTATAACTCCAGAGCAGCAGCAACCACTCCAAGTGCCTGGAAACTGAACCAAATCCTCCCCTGGCAAATGTTTTGTTCTGACTTAGGTTTTTGGCCCATTACCCCCAGAGAGGAGTAAACCACAGAAACTAGTGGCTCTCAGAGAATTTAGTCTATCCCTAGTTACAGGCTGGGAGTCACCTACCTAAAAGCAGTAAGTAGGTTTCTGTTGAAATTCACTTTCTCCACTCTGAGCAGTTGGAGTTGACATACCCTGATCTGGAGAAGCATCCCTTCTCCACCCAGCTCTCCCCATGGACCTAGGTGGGCAGGGGAGATGAAGCTGTTCTGGGGAATGGGCTAAAAGCCCAGTGCATAACTGTCTGAATTGCTTAAGGGCCACTGCTTAGGCTGGGTCTGTTAGTGAGGCCAAGGTCCTGGGGAGTGGCTGCAATCCCATTTCCTGTGTGCCCATCACCTGGGCAACACAGACGTGTTCATCACTTATTCATGGTGTCAGAGCTCCTCTGTCCCATGGGATGGCCACCTGCTCCTGCTCAGCAACTGAATATTTCAAACAGCTCGCTCACCCCTGCCTCCCCTCTCTGCCACCCTGAGCCAGCCACCCTACTCACTCCTCTCTGCTAGCCCCTGCCCGGGCTTCTCACTTGCTTTCAGTACTGTGGTTCCACCAGGCCTGTTCCCAAATCACTCTGATGCAAGTGTGGAGAGACACAAGCTCTAATTCAGTCTGGCAGCTGGGAGGTTTAACTCTCGTGAGAGCAGAGCCGAGCTTGTGTGAGTAATACCTCTGGCAGCATCATGCAGCTTGCTAGCGACCAGCAGACTAGCCACTGGGAGCAGTGTTAGGAGGCAAGGACTAGGCTAGTGGGGGTGTAGGGATGTCATGAGGGGCTGTGGTAAAACGGGAAGCAACTGAGCAGAATCAATTAAAAAGTGAAAGTTAACCCATCCTCCCTTCTCATGGCCATCGGGTCCTGTGTGTCAATGTTGAAGCTCAGGATGCAGCATTGGCAGCATCTGTCCTGTGCTCTTTGACAAGGTGAGCGGAGGGATGGTTGGATGAGTTGAGGTTTGTGTTTTGTCTTGGATAGTCTCTGCCAGATGAACTGTGCTTAGAGAGTCATGAATAAATGATAGCCCAGTGATGGAGCACTGCCTTCCACAGCTATTCCATGGGGAGGGAGGAGCATTTTTCTTTAAAGTGGTGTGGCCAGAGGGAGGTTATCAGAGCCTCTGGAAGTGAATCTGTCTCTTCACTAGCTATAAAGAGAGCCCCAGGTGACAAGATTTCTCACCTAGGGCACAGATTCACCATCTATTTAAGCATGGTTTTATTATCAGTTCTCCAAGACCATCTGCCATCCCCTCCCCATTCACAACCACATCTGCCATCTCCTTTGGGAGAGCTCTGAGCACACACTCACATAAATAAATAGCACGGCCTATCAGCCATGCATTTGCCCAGATGCGAGCATAGAGCATTGCTGCTGCAGCCACCAAGCTGATAGGAGTTACACAAGGGGCATATAATTTAGAATGAAGTTTTGATAAAATATCTGTGGGTTTTGTAAGGTCAAGGATTTTTAGTGCACCTTTATGTCAGTCACATTCTGTTTGTGGAAGTGAATGCTGTGGCCAAGAGCAGAGTGAGTTCCGTGTGATCTCCATTCAAAGAATTAATTGATCCTCCTTGTCTATCCTCTTGACATCCTACGCATCATACACACATATACACAAAACAGGAGGAGGTAGAAACTGCCCTGTCTGCTATGGGACTCTGAGCAACAGTGAGAATCTTCCCAGGAAGGGCATTAGCTGGCCAACTTGCCAACCACCCACCACATGCAGACAAACCTGATCTGCTCTGGGTTGTGTCACCATACTGGCATGATGGCTCCCATACCTTACAGGAGTGCACAGCGGAAGGACAAGAGGCATCCAACATGGACTGCAGGGAGAAAAACTCTGACTGAAAATAATCCCTTACTGAAGAAGCAACCAGGTGCCTGGAGCAACATCCCTGGAGAAATTCAAAGTAACCCTGTGACTTTAGCCAGACTTACCAGGAGAGGGCAGACAGCTCTTTCTGGACTAACTACCTCAGGAAATGGTATCTGAGGAGGACCTGCTTTGCACCGCTCTGTTGGAAAGCTTGACCTCGCTTCCGGGCAATCCATCTTTAAAAGTCATGTTCCCCTGTTGTTAGACCAGAAAGTGAAGTGACCCAGTTTGGTGCACTACAGAGCTGATTTGCTGCCAGATATAAGGAACCACAGTCAGAGCAGAGAGTTTGTTGTCTTTCCTGCAGCTTCACTTGTTCTCCCAGGGCCTCTGCTTCCATTGAAGAGACCAGCTTTCAGGACTGAGTCCTCTCAGCCAGAGCCGGAGCCCAAGGCAGAGATCCAGGTTGATGCTTGGGGTGTCCCGTGACATCTCTGGTGTGGAAAAGTGCAGTGGGAGCTTCCTCAGATGGGGATCTAGCACCTTTCTTATGGGCTCAGCATTTCTGAATCTGGGAACAAGGGAGAAGAGCTGCATCCCCAGAGAACAGGGTGGCCCAGTGCTTTCATGGGTCCAAAGTTGATCAGTGGACAGCAGCACTCATGTTACCTGGTGTAAATTACTGTGGCAATAACTGCTAACAATTTCAGGTAACCTATGTTGCTTAAACGTGACAGAGGACCACAGCTGAAAATTAAGTACCATTATTTTCCCTCAGAGCAGACACAGACTGGGCATAACCTCCCTTCCTCCATCTCTTGCAGCTGCATCTCACCTCACCCAGCTAACAGCTCAAAGAACAGAGAAGATGCTGGGGCCAGGCCAGGCTGCTACTGAGGTGGGCAGAGCTTGGGGTCATGAAACCAAGTGCAGAGACCTGGGTTTCACTTACTAAATCAGAGGGCTGTGCCTGGGAAAAGGATATTATTGGGGACAGTACCGGGTCGCCTGAGGATTCCTTCCCATATCCAGGCTCTGGCAGTGCAGCGTGATGGGAGAGCCTTTCTGAGCTGAGTTGTTTGCCAGACGTTGAGTAGCGGTGGGTGTCTTGAGCAGCGTGTGTTGACACTGACCTCTAGTGGGAATAGATCCCTTCCTCTTTTGTTTTTCCCCGCAGTTTTAACCATTTTAAGTGACAACATCTTGAGGGGGACTGGAGAGAGCCCAGAATTAGAGTTTCAGCTTTAAAACCCTCAAAAGCAAATCAGAACATCAAGATTTGCCTCATATTATATTTAAATATTTTTATCCCACTACCATTTCCTGTCAATACATTATATATAGATACTATATATATGCATGTGCATTTGTAGGTGTGTATCTTTCTGTATTTAAAGCCTCTGAAAATAATGTAAGTCCACACGGCTAGGCAGAAAAGCTCTTTGTTAGGAAGTTTCAGCTCTTGAAACTGAGCCCAAGCCCTGCTGAATGAGAGATAGAAGGCAAATAATAGGGCAAAGTGGCCAAGTTCCTCTTTCAGGCTTTTCAGTCAAATTGTCAGAAGGGTTAATAGAAGCACACCCAGCCAGAGGAGGGGTGTCAGGAGATGGTGCCTGAGCTGGGTGTTAGTGGGTGTAGTTGGAAGAGCAGAGAGTGGCTGGACAAGGATGGCGTAGATCACTGCCTCCAGCTGAACTCACATCAGCAGCAGAGGAAGGCCACTTCCAAGGGCTGTTTGGTAGCCAGAGGTGAAGAAAGTTTGCAATGGACTGGACTGCAGAGTCCACAGTGGTGTATCTTGAATTGCTTCCCTGTAGAGCTGGTCCAGGGTTTATTAGTTTGGGCTCTGTGCTTCGGCTTTGGCTGAACCACTTCTGGACATGTTCTAGCCCTGGAATCAGGATCCACACCTATGCCCCAACTGGAACAGGACCGCTACATAAACAAGTGCGACTGCCACTTGATGCAAAGGTAAGCAGCAACTAGTTCACAGAAAAATGAAATCTTTGTGCAACACCGCACAGGTCTGTGATGATTTGACCAAAGTGGATTTGTCCTAATGCCTCATTTTATCCATGTAAAAGCGTACAAGGAACCATTCCATGATGGAGCTGCATCTCTAAAATATCTAGTATATTACTAGAGAAAATGGCAAAGGCATTTTAGAGGTAGTTGATGGGTAACATAATAGCAGTTGGGTATAGAAAGGTGGAAGAATAGAGATTCTGTGTGGGTGTCAGGAACAACAGCTACAGGTAGAGCTGGGATGCAGCCACCACCAGGGTGTGAGAGGGAGTGGCATGGATATATGGCCCAGAACCCCACCCTGCGTGTGAAAGAGCTGATATATGTGGGAGAAGCTCTTTTCCCTTAGTAATTGTAGTCTTGCAGCTAGGCAGTGCCAGGGACACAACTGGAGGCACTGAAACAGATCCTGAGTGGGGGAGGAAAACTTATGACTGGCAGTTATTGATGCCAAAGAGACATACCTGCCTCCTTCCTGCTGTCCCCCCACCCCACAACCTTTCCCTCTGCCTGGTCAGAGGCACTTTTGATGGGTAGCTCTCCTGCAGCAGGCTGTGCTCACAGGCCCAGCAGCCAGTGCTGGGGGAATGACGCAAACCCAAAGCAGCAGCTGCAGTGTGCGAAAGGGAAATCATTGGTGCTTTGCATATGGTTTGTGCGAGCCCAACCAGTACCCATTACCAAGTTCTTCCCAGGTGAGCTTCCCTGCAGGAGATCCTTTCCCTCCTGCTGGGATGAACTGGAAAGATGGGCACCCTGCAGAGACGGAAAGTCACCTCAAGCAATAAAAGCAAAAGCTGAAACTGATTTTAAAGTATCAGCTGTGTTCAGAGCTATCTAGGTTGTCCTTTGAGGAAGACTCACTGCTCGGGACACTGGAAAGTAATTAGATGATATCTATGAAGATCCATGAGGAACACCACTGGATAGCTTTGGCATTGGAAGAAGAACACTGAAATGCAGGCTGGTCAACCGTTCACAAGCAGTGAGCTGGGACTTCATTTGACTTTCTATTTTCAGCTTTTATCTCTGTGTCTTGGCTGCTCTTGTGTGAGCCCTGGCAGCCACTGTGGGCTTTGGGCTTTCTATTTGCAGCACAGAAAGGCAGTGGGAAGGGGCTGGACCAAGAGGCTTGTACAGCCAACTGCAGCGACCTCCAGGCCTTTCCCTTTGCCTCTACAGGTAGCACAGATGAGAAGAAGTCTTGGTGGGTGAAACGGTTCAATCCATGCACGTGGGAAAAGCAAACTTCTTGTTCACACATATCTCTGCTACCAGTAAGTGAGTGACATGTACCATATCGTCTCCCACAGAGCCTGAGGCTTCAGTCAGCACCTGCACATGCAACAGCATCCTCACCCACACACCGCCTAGTTTGACAAGGTCCCTCTCCCACCCCTGGCAAACCTGCCTGCTATTTAGAGAACCCAAGCCAACAGGGCAGGGCAGGAGGCAGGCCCAGGACACACCGGCACGTACTGCCCGTCTTCGGGAAGTGTATCGTGGCCACCTCCCTCTCCTGTGCGCCCCGGCCCGCTGTTCCGTGCCCACGGGTGGGTTTCTCCCTCCTGCTGCCTCTGCCCCCCCCGCCCCGGACAAAGCGGGCGGGGTGAGACAGCTCCTCGTTGTGCCGTGGGGAGCCGGGGCAGCGCGGCGGGGCGGCGGCGAGGGGAATCCCGGGCAGGCGGGGCCGGGCGCGGCTGAGTCAGTGTGGGCAGGGGCAGAAAGAGGAGGAGGAGGAGAAGGAGGAGGAGGCGGAGCCGAGGCGCCTTGGACTCTGTGCTGGCCGCCGCTCGATGGTTTTCCGGCCATGAGCCCCCCGGCGCCGGGAGCGGGGCCGGGATCGGGACCCGGGCCGGGGCAGGCGGACGGCAGGCACTGAGCCATGTCGCGGGCGGCGGGCGGCGAGTGCCGCAAGGAAGCGGCGGCCTGGGAGGGAGAGGACGGGCAGTGCGACTCGGGCATCGAGTCGCTGCGCTCGCTGCCGGGCGGCAAGGAGACCCCGCCGCCGCCGCCGCCGCAGAGGTCCCTCCCGCCGCCCCCGAGACCCTCGACGAGACCACCGCCGCCGCCGAGGAGCGGCTGGACTCCAGCTACGGCTCCGGCGCCCTTCCTGAGGCTCTGCCGGAGCTGCCGGGCGTTCCGGGGAGCCGTCCCGAGGAGCCGTCGCCGCCGGCCGAGGGGCTCAGCCGGCAGCAGCTGGAGGCTCTCACCTACCTTTCGGAGGACGGAGACACGTGAGTGACCGCCGGGGGAGCTGCGAGCGCCGGGCCCCCCCAGCCCCGGGGCCTGGCCCCTCGCAGCCGGCTGGCGGCGGGGAGCCGGTGCCTAGAGATAAGCCAGGCAGGATCTGCTGTGGTCCCCATCCCTCTCCCGAGGAGCATCCGTTCAGCCGGGCTGTGAGGGATTCCCCAGATCCCTGTCCCGAGAGCCTCCCGCCTTGCCTTGCTGTGCACGGATGCTTGGCACCCTGGTGTAGGTTTGTGCGTTGGTGACCCCCTCACCCGCCTGAGGGGCATCTGAGCCGGGTCGAGCAGAGGGAGCAGAGAAAGATGTACCCCAGGTTACATGGCACGGAACGGACCCGCCGTAGGAAGCCAGCTTCCGCTTGCTATGGGGCTGCTAGCAACTAGAAGAGAGGACGGAGCAAATCAAGCCCCCCATTGTCTCTTACCCAGAGAATTCAATGCTTCCTCCCCAGTAAGGCTTGGCTAAGTGAGAGGGCACATAAGCAAGATGTGAAACAAGGTTGGCTATGCAGGGCAAGACCTTGGGATGGCTGGGTTAGACACTGCTCAACCGAGCAACCCAAGAACTGTTTGTTCTCAGGTGGGAATCGTCTTGCTTTGCCAACCTGCTGGCAGAGCCACAGCTTTTGGCGCAGCTGAGATGCACATCCCAGTGTGGGGCTGCCCTCCTGAGCCTCTGTGACGGAGACAAGTGTTTCTCTTAATGAGGGGGGGCTTCCCACATCCGTAATGCCCTCTCAAGTGCAAAGGCATCATGGCAGAGTTATTTGGTTTGGCTTCTGGTAATTGCCTTCATCTAATCACAGCGTTTTTTCCTGTTGTACATTCCCTCGACGGAAGGTTTTCGTCATGAGTGTACACACAGACCATGAGCGAAAGTTCTCACAGTTGAGGGCAAAGCTTTGCCCCAAACGCAGGCTGGAGTTTAATACTGAGTAATGGTGTAAGAGGAAGAGAAACTAAGAGGCACTGATATGAGCAAGGAAATGTCTTCAGTAGTGGCAGCAAGAAGGCTCTGTCCTTGCCTGGCAGAGCACATCTGGATTGAAGCTGAAGATGAGCTGGGAGACAGCCTGTGTGTTTACTTCCTGGTAAGGAAGGAGTCTGTGCTTCTGCTAATTAGTTCTTTAATGCTTACTGTGGGATCTGCTCTGAGGATTGGCTGGAAGTGTCATGGCATGCAAGGTTAGACTAAACCCAACCTCCCACATTCCCCAGCCAGACTTTCTAGTCCTGTCCTATCTATGGGCTCGTTCTGGGGCTCCTCAGCATAGAGCAGCTGCACCAATTTTCCCAGCTGTAACGCTAGAGCCAAGGTGCCCACTGAGAGAGCCAGGGGTCTTTTCATCAGAGCGGTGAAAGTAAGGCTTCAGAAAGCCTTCCCAGATTTCTGGGTTTGCCCAGGGCTCCTCACTCACTGGTCTTTTTAGTGATCCCCGTAGATGCAGCTGCTTGGAGATGCTTTTACTGCTTGGGGCTATCTTGTTTGGGAACTGAGCTCTTTGCCCGTCAGACTTGCTTGGAGAGACCTAATGAAAACATCTTATTAACTAGGGAAACATTAATCAGCGGTGCCTTGGTTACTGTAGGCAGGAGAGGCTCTTGGAGAGGTCCTCAAATGGTTGCTGTTACTCTTCTGTTTTCTCTCACTCACTGCAGTTCAGAACAGGAAATCTGTAAAGAGTGAGGGTGGGAGCAAAAGGTCTGCTTGGTGGTACAACTCATACAGCTCTGGGCTGGCTGTGTCCACACAGGAGATTGCTTGCTTGGGATCTGCTCCCACTGCTGGAGAAAAAAACCCAAACCTATTCTTGTGGTTAGAATGGTGAGGCTGTGGTGAGGCTCTGCTATTCTTGTCTCTCCTTCTGACCTTGTGGTAGAGGTAGGTGGCATTTATATTTAGAAGTGCTGAACATCCTCAACTCAGGTCGATGCAACTGGGGACTGTGAGCACCCAGCAACTCATTGAACTGCCACTGGTTTTGTATGTGAAAACAGTGAGGGCTGATAGTAAAGTCTGTGGAGCAATTGCTCATCCAGTGACAGAAGATCCCCAGAGAGAAGGGATCAGATGGGCACAGGCTACATCCCTTTCATCTGGTCAGGCAAAACCATCGACTTCTTTTCTTCTTTCCGTCTCTGTCAGCAGCACATTTCCTTGTGTGTGTTTTCTTAATGTCTGCCACAAAACAGCTCCAGGCAGAGAATTAAAATCATATTGTCATTCTATTTCAAAAGACTTAGGCAACAACATTTTACTGTAATTGTAATTCTGAAAATACAAAAAGTTCAGGGGTTTTGGCTAAGTAGTTCCTATTTCTCCAGATGCCCTGGCTGGTACCAAGGGGAGAGGAGCACTGGGCTTGCACAAAGGGAGCTGGCAAAAGTCTTGGCTCTCCAGATGACAAAAATCTTCACTATGCACAGCTCACTCAGGCTCATCCACCTGTGCCATCCTGAGGTTTGTCTGCCTGGCACTTGTGGAGGAAGTACAGGAGGTGGAAGCAGAGGCGAGGAGAATGTGCTTAGGCGGTTGGAGTGTCAACAGGATCCTCCCTGAATACCTCCCTGCCTGCCTCCATGGGAGAGGAGCGTCAACCCAGGTGGGATGAAGCAATGAACCTAAAAATGGCTCTTCGTGCGCTCAGAATTAGGAGTCTAGCTTTGGCAGGAAGGAAGTGGCCAAGAGGGAAGAGGGGGTGTGATGGCCAGTGAAATATGTGGGTGCTGTCTTCCAAGAATTATTTGCTCAAATGTCGTCCCCCGCCATGACTCCTCAGTACCACTGGCAGCCCCTCCACCTCGGGGAAGTCAGAGCTGCAGTTATCAGTCACTGGGATTCAAGAGAGAGTGGCTGAGCTGGCAGGGCAGGAGAGGTCAAGGATGAGGAATGGGGGAGAAGATGGCAGGCAGAAGGTGGTGGGAGCACTCAGGGCAGAGATATGTATCTTGCTTATTCCGTGGCCAGATAGAGAACAAACCCTGTGCACTCAATCTCAAATGGTCTCTTCCAAGCATCCATCTTTTCCTTGCGACCCAATATTCCTCCAAGTATCCATCTCTTCCATGAAAACAAGCTCCTTTTCTGCTGTATTGGGTCCCAATGGGACTGCTCTGCATGGAAGTGAAGAGAGGGGCTTTCCAGCTGTAGACATGGCTAGCTCTGAGCAGGCTGCAGGCAGCTTTCTTGCTGTGCTCCAGCCTCTGAACCACCTCAACCTTTGTTAGGATTCACTAAGAAAACCCCCTCTTTCCCAGCCTCAACAGGCAGATGCACAGGTCCAGCATCCTGGGAAAGGGCTGGCTGTGGGACCAGCACGAGGTGAAATGGGGTGTGATGGGATCACCTGTTATGTTCCAGCACAAGGGAAAATCTCCCTGGTTGCTTAGGCTTATGTCAGCCTCTGCCAGCTCTGGAGAGGCAAAGTTGAGTCATCAGTGTGTGAAATTAAGTGGAGTTTCCTCTCTCTTGGACTATCTTAAACTTAAAAACATGTTTTCCTTGGTGCCTATGCTGGTCCTTGGGCCACATGCCAATTTATGCCGTTGGTACCTGATGCCACAGTGATGGAAAGGCTGGGGGCTGCGCCCCCACAGGAGGGTGACTATCTTCTGCACAGGGCTCTGTATGCAAAGCAGTGCAGTGCCCCTATGGGGGTGAAGGTTGGGGGACCCCAGCTCAATCACAGGAGAGAGACCAGAGCCTCCTTCAGATGGAAAATGGGACTAAGTGGTTTTGGTCGGGCGCATGTTTCACGGAGGGAGGGGAGCAGAGGAAGCTTGACTTCCTCCTTCCACCAGAGACAAGTGCTGCTCTGTCTGCTGATAAGAAATCACGTGCCAGTGACTCGCGGGCTCAGATGCCTTAACAAGGGCTTGGGGACAGTTAATCGAGTAAAATTGGGGCCCCTTGGGAGGTGACGTTCTGAGCTCTTCTCCACATGATGGTAGCGAAGGGGCCTTCTCTGCTGAGCCCTTGCCTGCTTGGGCAGCCACTGAGCACGAAGGCTCATCCTGAGGGGCCACTTCTAACCAGCATGTGCCAGTCTTAACCCTTCCAACTCATGGAACCCTGTGCCAGAGACTTTCCCTGAGCAGGGGAATAGAGGTTGTCCCCATTCAGGGTGTCTGCTCCAGCGTGGCTGCTTGCTCGGTGCTTGCCCTGCTGAGCAGGGGTGTTGCTGAAGCCCTGTAGCCCTGGATCCCAGTGTGTGTAACTGGGGCAATGCTCAGTGTGTGACAGCAAAGGGCAATTACTGTGAAAGAAGGAAAAAGAAGCAGAGGACTGGAGAGATTCAGGATTAAAGAAGTCCAGTGCAGAGAGCACACCTGGCTGCTGGTCAGGCTGAGAGTCCCCCTGCTTGGCTGGGCTGGGCTGTTGCTGGCTGCCCAGCAGTGAGATGGTCATAGTTAATGGAAGTGGGGATGCTCTTGGTTTTACCAGAGGGCCTTTGGAAAGGAATCTCCTTCCTTGATTGTCAGGATTCAAGTCCATCCCGAGTTGCTTCCTAGCCTGCTAACACTGTGGAGCAGAGAAGAAAGTGAGTCCTAACATGGGTCTGGCAGGAGGGAGAACTTCCTGTGTCCAGCTCCCTCTCCCCGGATTCTTGGCTCTTTCTCTGTATGTGCTCAGGAGTTTGGTAAACAGGGGAGGGCTTGGTGTCCCTCCAAGCAAGGGCAGAAAGCTCTGGGGCATCCTGTGGGAAACAAGCCTTCTGAGACTGTGGATGCAAGAAGAGGTTTTTTTTTCTCTGTTTGGATGACTTCAGCCTGGCCTGGAGGAAGTTTCTTCAGACTTTCCACCTGCCTAGGTTTGCCTTGGAGCTAAGGGGAGACACGGGGAACTTCAGCACAGGGGAAGGGAAAGAATGGCTGGAAGTTTCCATGTCCTGGGATGCAGAAGCCTGATGCCTGGCTGTAACCGATCAGCTGAGGTGGAGAGGACTTCAGGTCCTTGCACTTTGGAGGCAGGCCTGGCCACTGTTGGG